TAAAAAGCATGCAACACATAAGAGATGGTCAAACATGAAGATGGCTACTATTAACAAACATCCTAAATCATCAGCTAGCATAAATTTATCCTGTTTCCTCTACTGAAAAGGGAAAGGTTACCAAGCTTTCTCCCCTTTAGTTTTACATTATATAATGCTAATTATGATATCTATAAGCATGATTCAATCACAAAATTATTGCTCTTCCTATTGGCCATTTTATTCAGCAATTTGAAGGAAATTCAAGCACAAGATACTAATAAAAAATCCAAACATTTAACAATTTTATATTCATGCTGCCAAATACTAACACTCTTTCTATATTCATTAGACAATTTTAACTATTTAAGATCTCATTAGTTAATTTCATAAAACACAAAGTATACATATCATACAGAGACTTCTGTGCCACAATAGAAATTTTATCTGAACCAATTTCTTTTCTCGTCTTTATCCTTTTTACAGCCTCCCGCCCTTCAGAGACATAATTCTTCTAGCGTATGTCATAATTTTATCATTAATAGAGTTTGGCATATCCCCAAGATCCATGCTATACCTTCCATTAAATAATTGAAGAAATTATTCCTCCAAGTCGAATGACCCATAGTTTCCTTCTTTTCCGGCTAAATGCTTGTTTATTTTATTCATTTTCCCATTATGTTTGAGTTATTTATATTCAAATAAAATCCTAAGGCTATTCTTGCATCTTCGATTGTGCATTTATTGCTTCCTTATCTATCCAGTAGCTTTCTATCCTAAACCTGTCCTCAATACAGTCTCACTCCAAGCTACACCTACTGAGCAAATCAAGTTTCAATTTTTATCACTAGAAAGTAAGCAGTAAAAAATATTTTCTAAGTGGTAGGTGAACTTTAGACATCTTTCAGAAATTTAACAATGGGCATCTAAGTCGTGTGACAAGAAGTATCTAATAATGAAATAACAACCGATGTCTTTTGATCCTAATCTACAGAATAAATGAACTCAATTTGATATTCAATTCTTGTTTACCGATTGCAAACTAATTCTACATTAACGGATATTATAGGTAGCTTTGAAGTTAGTTAATCCTTTTGTTTGGATTACTAACACTGTTATCATTCACCCAAGCAAACAAAACAAGAAACAGGAATTTGATGCATGATGAGAATGATATATCAATGAACTTCCCATTACATTTGGGGTTGGCCATATTTGAGAATTATAGAAAAAAAGAAATTCATTTCCTTCGTTTCTCCTTCTCTTGTTTTATTCTCTTTCTTTACTTTTCGGTTCTTATTACAAGTACATAAATAAATGAGAATATAGAGACTACCGGCTTCTCTCTTGGCAATCTTGTTGTAGGTGCAGGCAACTTGACAATGGGACCATCTGGATCTTCAGTTGAACGTAAGTTAAAGAGGGCATCCGCAACTGCTTGTACCAATTTGGTACCCTGTTCAAGAGCCTCCTTTACTATCTCCTCCCTATTTGTGACGAAAAGTAAATAAACAAAATCCACACAAACCAAAGAAGCTTAAGACGAAGAAATTCAGCTCTCCCAGAATCAAAAACACTAAAATGCTTTATGTAATATCTTAGAGTAAAATTATTATTAATATAACAAGAATTTTAGACCATTGTTATTTTTGAGCAAGCCAAAAAGCCCTTTGTAGTAGCGATGTTCTGGCTGCAATCATTATTAAGCTCAAAAGTGTAACTGAATAATAGAAAAGTTGTGGCATGATGTACAATCCAAATCTTTACTCATTCCAGATATAATTGCACATACAGCAAAAGTTCTTCAGATTTTGAGGAGTTTGAAACCTGTTCTTATATAGATAATATGAGGAATTTAAGAAAATGAATAGAGAAGAAGCAAGAACAAAAACCTGGAAGACGAAGGAGAAGGGAATTGATGATGCAGATCAAAGGCCGTGAGGTTTCCCAAATCGATTTCATATTGTGATTGCTCCATCTTTATCTGCTATATTTGCAACAGATCTTGTCAAACTGTCACATTTCTTTTTTGGACAGTCTAATCCATTGAAATATTTATATGCAAGATAGAATAACTTTCAAATTGTAATATTTCATGTGGATTAATATTCTTCAAGAGTTAATATACTGTAATTTGTCATGTAATGACATTCCAAATAAGAATGCAAAAAAATGCAAAGGGTTCTGACATGTTTGCAGCCCAGAAATTTGCATTTGCTCTTTTAACTGAAAAACTAGTTCACACTAGGCCAAAAAAAGAAATACCAAGATGAAGCATATGCTTGTAACGAAGACACAAACAACTTACTCATTTGTTACTTTTCAGGATCAAAGCTATTATCACAATATTATGTCCCTATTTGGACTTCATTTTATTCAAAAATCATTTTCAACCACGCATTCTCTCAAAAATATCTTTACACATAAATTCAGAACTTCTCTTTATTTTTTAACAGTACTTTCTTCCAAAAAAATCACTATTCCAAAACACATTTTCCCCCAAAAATAGAGGTCAAACAGGGGCTATATTCTCGAGCCTTTCAGAAACAAAAAGCATCAAGAATAACATTAAAGCTTAAAACATAAACACAAATTCGGAAAAACAGATTATTTTTATAATCAAATAGGTTCATGAAACAAATATACCCTCCAGTGAAAAAAATAATAATAATAAAAAATAATAAAAAATAAATAAATAAATATTTACATGAATAATGAATTCAGTAAATCGCACTAAAAGGAATACCCTTCACATAAACACAATTTCTGAGAACAAAAACCAAAACTAAACAGAAGTTATTTTAAAAAGGAAAACAATATAACATGCTTCTTCTGCAAAAACACAAGGAACGAAAGGCTACATGTCAAGATAATAAACCAACACCAAAAAAATTTGTACGCTACCTTTGTCGTTACAGTTGAAGAAAAAACCAAGTTTAAAATACAGAGCAGCACTATGGGAGCTAGAGAAGAGGGAATTAGTATCGCCTCCTCCGTATTCAGGGTTTTAGAAATTAAGAGACGATGGCAATTTCGGTAATCTACCCCCCACGCCCACGCCCTCCCTGGACCCCTTTTTTTTGGTGAAAAGGCCAGTAGGAGAGTATCAGGCCGAGTTACCAGGCTCGAGAATGGGCCTGAGTTCGGTAGCCATGGGCTCGAGGGTCATCGGGTTTTAAAAAGTAAAAAAGAGATGTTTGTAAGCCAAATGATCCATGAGGATGACTTTGCGAGTGATCGCGTCCTCGCATGTCTTGGCATGGGTCCCATATGAATAAAATAATCCTGACCCTCATGTGTGTGCTGTGTCAATCCCGCGATCATCCATGCAAGCACTTAGCTCGGCCCTTTCAAACATGTTAGTATTTCAGTTTATAAGGAACCATATAAGTTGACTTGATTTAAACAATATTATAAGTTCAAACATGTTGAGAATCGGACCTGTGATGTGCTTGCTCCCTATAAGTTTAATACCAAAGTTGTATGTTTGAAAGTGCAACTTTGTTAGTGGAGATGTTTAACTGGATCTTGACAGCTAGCTTCATCTTGGCTGTTAATTTGGCTTCTGGACGATTCCAATGTATTAATTTTTGGGTGCCGTTTCACTTGGCACAATGTTCTGACCTTTTGAGTTCTTTTAAGAGAGAAAGTTTACTCTTGTGGCTAGGGTTTTGATTTGATTATTCTTCTCTCTTTAGTGTCTTATTCGAGAGTTGAGATATGTATTGTCAACTTCTGATTCTTGTAATATTGTGAGTGAAATTTATCAGAACGAGAGGGTTCTTATAGTTGTAATTTCAAAAGGCTTACTTGAAAATTCTTGAATGATTCTTCATAGATTTACAGTTTTAGTTTGAAGAGATAGATAGACCTTCTCTTTTTGTTGGTTAAACATTGTAACATTTTGAGGCTTTATAGTACAATTGAGTGATATTCACTTTAACAGATGCTCAATAGGGGGATTACGCGTTAGAAACAATCGCCGAACCTATGTGGCTATGGCCAAAATATATCTTATGTTCGACCTTTATTTTCTACAAGTTTTTATTTAATTGAATTTAATTTTGTGGTTTCTTGGCTTTTCAAAACACGACATGAAAATTGATGTTAAAAAAAATATGTTACCCGCTTAAACATGCAACTAAATCTAATAACCTAAGACAAATTCTATCATCATATACATATATATTTGTTGTATATATCCTTGTACATTTCTTTCTTGTCTAGTACAATTTGATAACTATTCTCCTCATTGATCACATGACAAAGCAAGCATTGGGATTTTCATCACTAGACATTTCATCATTTACATTAAGATAGGTGGGTGGTGGTAGAGGCGGCAAGGGTCGATGTATAGAATTAGTGTAATTTTGGCCGTAGGTGGGTGGTGGAGGCGGCAAGGGTCGATGTATAGAATTGGTGTAACTTTGGCCGTAGGTGGGTGGTGGAGGTGGCAAGGGTCGATATATAGTATTAGTGTAACGTTGGTCATACATTGTCACACCATAGTCTTGATTTGCATAGCTTTGGTTGTATACTGGTAAGGCATAGTGTACCCGTGGATTGTACCCTTGAAATTCCATTTTGTTAACAGCTACTCTTTTCTCCGCTCTTTTACTTTCTTCAGCTTCGCCGGCACCTTCTTTGCCATAGTCACCTTGTTTCTCTTCCTGATCTCCACCGCCACCTTCTTTTCCCTTCTTTCCTTCGCCGTCATCTTTCTTTGAAGTAACAATCTCTATGTCCCTCTTTAATTTTTCTTTTAAATAAGCTGTGAGCTCTTTCACGTTCATTTTTCCATGTACTGTGACCAAATCCTTCTCCAAATCCGTCGTTACTGAATTCACCCCTATGAGAACAAAGTTTAATTCAACTTTTATACAATTTAATAAAAAAAAAATGTAATATTAATAGTTGCATAAAACATAAAACAAACTCACCATCAACATTTTTTACTATATTTCGTTTTATTTTATGGGCGCATCCATTACAGTGGAGTTTAGTCTTCATCATTACTGTACTATCTGTAGGCTAAACAATAAAGAAGAAGAAGAAGAAGAAGAAGAACCATAATTACTAAAAACAAATAATGTAAGCCAAGTAGTATTCAGTGATTAAAAAATTTCAATACCTCTTTGAATGTTTTATCGTCGCCCTTTTTCTCCTGAGTTTTCTTTTCCGATTTTTCATCCGATTTCTTGTCATCAGTGCTGCCATCTCTTCCGCCTCGGTTTTCCTTTTTGGGCTGAGGTGAGATGAGCTCCACCTTTTTCTTAGTTTTGCATTCAACTCTCTCTCGGAGCCAAAAAGGGTCCATTTTCCCTGTCACGGTCAATTTGTTGTTGCCACTGTCTGCCTTAACATTCTCAACACCTGTACATACAACACAGAAGAATGATATCATTTAATTTTTTGAATTGTTGAAACCTAATGATAAATTTCGTTTAAAATTTTAACGGCTGAACGACGATCCAAGGAAAGTATATTGACAACTATAAAAAATTAGGTACGTGGTACAAAATCAAAAAATTAGTGGAAGGCTTTTACTGGAATAGGCCCCGAGGTTTTTTCCTTTCACACTGAAAGGTCTTCCCATCAACAAATATTTGTGTTCAATTGTTAAATTTCTTTCAGTGTGTGTGAGTTATTGGAGCCGAGTATTGTTATTATTATTGCCATTTTAATTCTGCACACTGAGGGGTTGAAATATTTTTTCCTCTGTTTGTTTGTGTTACAGGTTCAATCTCCTACAAAACTAAACATATATACATGTTGAAGTACCTTCAAAATGGTGAACGGAGCGGCTGACTTTCTTGGCACAGCCTTCACAATGCAAGTCGAGCTTCAATACGGCGGTGATGAGGCCATCTTCTTTCTTGCCTCCGCGATCGGGTGCTGCTTTCTTTGTATCGTCTTCCTGGAAGGAAAGAAACCCAAAACAATAAATGCTTGACGTGAGTAAAATGACAATCTTTTTTCTTGCATAGATCATCGTATATAGAAAGGAAACAGTTATTTACCACACACATTGATGAATATAGTTTAGGTATGACAAAAATGGAATGGTATGAACTTTATAGATTGAAAATGGAGGGAACCCTTGAATATATAGAGTATTGTGATAACGGGCTTTGAGTGCGACAAACTAGCTAACTTTGATTAGTGTTCGAGTAATAAATCTTTAAAAAATGAGCAGAGTTAACAACCCGTCTCTATCTATCAAAATCATTTAAATGACCATTGTATTATTGCTTAATTAAAGTATTCAAAATCTGATGAAATTCTTGAGTTTAGGTTGTATTAATTGTACTAAACGGTAGTGATTGTACAAAATTAGTTAATAGTTACGTCGTTGAAAATCACAGGTTTTGGAGTAGTAATTGTACTACATTTGGGTCCTAACTAAAAAGTACTAAATGAACCTGTTTCATAGAAATTTGTACTATCCAACGAGGGTACATTACCGGGGTATATTTATAAAGGTTGAACCCCAACCTTAAGGGCCTCCACCGATTCTGTCCTGGGCCATCGTGGAGGAGGTAAATCGCAGGATGTGCCTCCCAGGAGTCAGGGTGGAGAGCACATGGATAGGCCAAGGCTATTAACTTATATGGTAACTCTCGCTTGCAACAAAGTCAATTCCACCTTACAGGGAATCGAACTCTGCACACTGCCGCGCTGAGCTCTATCCGCCCTCCCCTTTGCCACTGGAAGATATGCCCTGGGGGCGTTTACCGGGGTATATTTATAAGATGGATGTAAGGTCATCTCCAACCCTACATCAAAATTTGTACCATTTTGCATTAAATTAAAAATTATTTTCAACCCGTTATATTAAAAGTTGCATCAAATGATTAGTGTTTAGACTTTTTCTTCATTTTTTTTTATTTTTAACAATTTATATAGCTAAAAAAATATTTATTTATTCGATTTACTACTACATAAATTACTACATACATAATTATGTTTCGTTTACGAAAATATGAAATTATTTAATATATTTTAAAAATGTAGTACAATTAATAAAAATACCACAACTAAGAAAATATGAAATCATGTTATTGAAAACAACGTGGTACATTTTGAATCTCGAAATTATGGTACGGCAAAGTCGACCTAGTGTCATAATTTAATTATCAGAATTCATATATTCATCCCACAAATGTTCAATTAATGCATTTTAAAGTGCAATGTGAGTATCTTTATCCTTGATTTGTTTATAATGAGCAAGGAATTGTTGAAAACGTTGATTTTCGTCTTCAGCGTTAATCATGTACGTTTGCATTTTAAAACTTTTTGAGTAATTTTATTTTAATTCGTTCACCTATTATTATTGATTACGCGGTTAAAATTTATTACAAATGATGATCATCAACAATAATAATAATTAACTCCTTAAGTATGAATTAAAATTTATGTATGATGTAAAATGACACAAATGCCCTTCATATCAACTTGGTCATATATGAAAAAAGGGCAAAATGGATTTTTATCACATTTGGTGCAAAATGGTTCATGTGAATAGTGTCGGGTTGGAGTGGTATTTTTGGTGAAAAATGGTGAAATTTGGTGGAAAATGGTGGAAGGGTTGGCGTTGCCCTTACATGTTACTAGAAGGTAGGCAAATAATTTTGTAATAATAATACTATATGCACGGGTTTAGGTAAGCAACCGGCATCCTTTTTTAAGTTAACCAAGATTAGGATGGCCGTAAAATATGATTAGCATAACGTTTATAAAAATCAGTACCTAGTGAATATTAATAGATAGGTGGTATTATAGTGGACTAAGATGGACAATATTCATTGATGACAATATTAGTTTATTATGAGAATTCGAAAGTCGAACGAGTTTTAATCTACGAATAAGTTATTATAGTATATTTAATTTTTCGAACCAATTTTAGGTGGATGAGAAATTAAAGTCAAAAGTGAGCCACATAAAACATGAAAATAGTTGGGATCGGAATTAGAACATGGTGGAATATTCCAAAGACCATTTATCTCAAAAGTCATAATGAACATGTCTCTTTAAATAAGAAATAATTCCAAAAGTCGTATCCTTTTAGGTAGCTATGCCTTTTCAAAACACAACATTTCATGTATTATATATATGCCCCAAAATTATTTAATCACCACTTAAATTTAAATCGCGCACCTTGCACTTTCTGTCTATGCCGTTATAATTAACAAAATATACCGCATTTATTAGAACTCTATTTATAAGAGAGTTCAAAAGTACCAATAAGTTAGCTATTCTCGAGATTTTTAGTGCTGCTATCACGAGAAGTTGGTCATTGTATCTTGAAAGATGTGTGCTCAAAAACAATGAACACCAATGCAAGCAATTTCGTCTTAAGGAGAAGATGATCAACTCTTGCCTCAACTAAATATAATTCTTTATTTTCTACATATGTATATGTCGTCATTTTATATATCATAATTAAATTGTCATAATATAAATTATACATCAAATTGTCTATTATGATATATTTAAATTTGTAAGGATATGAATATGACCCTTTCGTTCTTGTTGCCATTAAAATGTTCGTGGGTTTATCATATTTGATTTTCTTTAAATTAATTTATCGTTGTTTTGAAATTGTAATTTGTAGTTCCAGGATCGAATTTATGCCAAAAATACTCAACGCAAAAATCAAGATTTTCTCAAAATAAAACATAAAATAAGAACACGAGAAGGCCTCGGAGGTTCAGCGACCACTTCTAGCGCTTAGTCCCCCATTGAGCATCCATAAAGGATTAAACTCGAATCCATTAAATCGGTCAAAATAGGCAAAGATCAAGTTACAGGACACAAAGTTCCCAAATCACAAATACAGCACAATCTTCCCACAATAGAACTCACACAAGAGTTTCTCTAACAATTCTCCTAAATCAAAAGATTAGAACGGACAAGATGAAAGGCACGCAGCCAAGAAAAGCCTCAGAATACTAATCATTGACCCTAAAAAATCTGATGTTTCCTATTTATATGAAAGGTAAGGATCCAACATCCATCAATTTGCCACTTGTCATTGATCCAAAGAAAAGACGCTCCTTATGGTCAAAAACACGTTTTCGGAGTTAAAAGATCATCTTCCCAGATTCTTCTTCACGGGTCATGATATTGGGCCATTTATTTGGGCTCAATTCAACAGCCTTGAGAAAAATGGGCTCACATCACAAAATGCAGCAACCCAACAACTTGCATAATTAATATATTTTTTCGAATTCTAATTCATGTTTATATTCTTCAAATCATAATGTTTTTTCTTGAATCTAAGAGGCAAGAAAAATAAAATATAAATTTCACCCCAAGTTTGTGAAATGACAACATGCTAATTATTGTTGATTGAGAAGCATCCGATCGATTTTAACTTGGTCTTTTGTATCTGTAAATACAGTTTTTGATTTAATATTGATGCTACCAAAAAATATCACCTGAAAATCTCGAGCTTGATGACTGGGATGAAACACTAACAGCGCCTTCCAGTACTTGAAACAAAGGCAACGAGGTGTGTGCTTGTCGCCCCTCCGATACTTAAGTCAGACAGGAAATTTTATGCGTGAGGCTATAAACTGAGGATAATAATGAAGAACGTACCTTTGGAATGAGCACATGTTGTGTATTTATAGATGTTAGTGGTTGAGTCCTAGGAGGACCGATTCTGCCACAATCCTTCTCCTCGTAGGAAAAGGAGTTGGTGTTTCACCTCGTATTCGAATCACTATTTGAGTCAAAGAGGGAGTCTAAGAAGATAGGGATTGTGTTCAAGGTAGGATTAGTGCTTCCATAGGTCACATATGGAAGTTATCGAGTCAGCATACGTACCCCGACCTCAAACACCCGAGCTGGTTTTGGTATTTTTAGATGATGATAAGGTCGGGGTTGTAGGTTGTGGTCGGGCTCAGGTGGTCGGGGTTATATACTGACGATATCTAGTATAATCACAGGCCCCCGTGCATCGAGGTCGTAGAGGTTGTTTCATTCTGGTCTACGAGTGAAGATGTAGAGGAACGAACGTCCAGATGTTTCTCCACGTGTCGAGTGTTGGATGGGATGTCAGTGAACGATCTCAGATGGCCGCCACGTGTAATGTTAGAGCACGACCTTAGATTCTCGCCACTTGTCTTGGTCTAAGGGGTGAGATTGCATGACCGTTGGTATTCCTCAGTCCCCTATAAATATCCAATTTTCACTCTCATTTTTTCACTTTTAACTCTCAACTCCCAGTAAATCGAGCTCGAGTTCGGGGATTAGTAGGGTTTGTGAGCGACTATCCACAGAGGTAAGAGTTCGAGCCCTTAAGTTGTTTTATTTGATTATAGCATAATGTCGAGTAGTGGTAGCACAGGGTCAAGTAGTAGTGACAGTAGTCAGGCTCCTAAGGACTCGAACCATAGTGATAGGCCTGAAGATGTAAATACGTCCATTATACCTATGGCTATCCCCATTAACTCCCATAGCGACATCCTGACCTTCCCTAAGGAACCGACTAAGTATAAAGAACATGTAATTATTAAAATAGCTAGAGAGTTCGGGGTTATGCCAATTTGTGATATTAGAACCCTAGGGCCAACTGAGACCGTGTTAGGAGCTCGAGAGGGGGAGATGACCTTTTTTAGGGATGCTCTTAAGGCCGGGCTTAGGTGGCCTCTTCACCCATTTTTCATTCATTTTCTGACCTCGTACTTCCTGTGTCCGGGTCAACTAGCCCCGAACGGTTGGAGGTTATTAGTGTATTTCTTCATATTATGTAGATGTCTCGAGGTTGAGCCTAGGGTCGACCTACTTTGAATGGTGTTTGATATGAAGTTTTCCCCGGGATATAATTGTTTTGTTTATTTATCAACAAAGGGGAGGGTTTATAACTCCTGATACCCCAAGCTCACTTAGAGGTTGGAAGGAGCGTTTCTTTTTTGTGAAACCTCAAGACCTCGATCATCTATTTAGCTCGAGGTGGGAAATCCCTAACAAAGATAGGTTTAATGAAGGTCAGGCCTATTTTGAGGTTTTAGAGAGAGATAGGTTGAGGTTAGTGAATCACGACCCCCTTGCAGACAAGATTGATTTTTTGCTTGAGGACGACACCCTCGACCTTGCTAATGTGAAAGGCCTCAAGGGTACGATCTTTCTTTTTATGCATTATTTGATATTTCATGGATAATCATCGACCTATAATTCGAGCTAATGCCTTTGTATTTTTGTTTGTAGAATTCGAGATGTCTTTCGATCCGTCAGCCCTTTTGGAGAACCTTCATAAAAAGGCCAAGGGCTCGAAGTCAAAAGCCTCGACTACGGCTTCGTCTAAAGGGAAGAAGCGGGCACGGGAGGCTACCCGTCCAACCATGGTGGACTTGGGGCAGAGTTCACAAAACCCGACCAGTTCGAAGCAGCCAACCCCTCAACCACAAGTCCGAACTCGAACCCCTTGTTATGGGTCGGACCTCTTGGCTGACGATGATGACCATATCCCCACGAAGTCGCTCGAGGAATACGCCGAATGTGCTCTTATTCAGGGCATAGTTGATAAATATGAGAAGAAGGTCGATATGAACGAGGGAGTTCGGACTCTAGAGCTCCTTACACTGAAGGTACGTTTTTAATATGAATGCTTGTGTAGCCCTGATCAGTTTCGTAATTTGTACTCACGTCGAGCTTTATACATGTTTTTGCAGACACTAAGTGTTGCTCGAGGTCTTGGGCTCAAGGGTTTGAATTCTTCATATCGCATAGCTGAGCTCGAAGTCAAGAGCGAGGTTGCGTTCAAGAGGGTAAAAGAGCTGGAAAAGGCCCTGGAGGCGGCCAAGGTGGACCTCAGGAAGGCAGAGGACGAGGTCGAGTTTGTTAAGGGTGAAGCAGAGGAAGCAAAGCTCGAGCTCATTCACTCGCGCAGCTCTTTTGAGGCGGAGCTTGCGAAGGTTCAAGCTGAAACCCGAGCTCAGGCCATTGATGACTTCAAGAAGTCTGATGAGTTCAAGACTCTCCTGGGTCAGTATGGGTCAGGCTCGTACTAATATGGCTTGCGGCTAGCTCGGTCGTTCCTCAGGACGAAGCTCCCCGAAGATTTGAGGCCTATAGTGGAGGAGCTAAAGAATGTGAACGAGCTCGCTAAGGACCTCGAGCTATCCTCCTCCGAGGGTGATGGGGACGATAAGGATGATGATGCTGGAACCCCCGACAATGGAGGGGATAGTGACCACATCGACCTAGACTAGACCTTCCCCGACCCCGAGTTTTGTAATAATTTTTCTTTTGTTTATGTTGTCTGCCCGATCAGGGCTTATGTACTTTGGTTTTTTAATATATGCAAGTTTATTGCCCGAAGTGGGCCTCTGTCTTTTATCAGTTCATGCGTTTTATCATTCAGATCGTGTGTTGATATTGTGTTGTAATTTTGAATTCGAGTTTACATTATAGTTTAGAGTTCGGTTGTTAGGGAATGTGTCCTAGTCTTTAAACTTGTAGCTCGGGCACGTAGAGTATTTCGGGTGTCTTTTTTCTGAGTTCAGTGATGTACCTTTGGGAGAAATTAGATCGCACACTAATGTTGAACTTTTGTTCATATCGAGGGTTGACCCCAATATTTAAGTTCGGTGGTGTACCATTGGGGGAATTAGATCGTGCACTAGTGTTTAATTCTAATTCATATCAAGGGTAGATCCTAACATAAGTTCGATGGTGTACCATTGGGGGAACAAGATCGTGCAAGGGTAGATCCTAACATCTAAACTCGGTGGTGTACCTTTGGGGGGAACAAGATCGTGCACTAGTGTTTACTTCTAATTCATATCAAGGGTTTAGGGTAACACCCAAGTTCGGTAGCGTTGGGGACAACTATATTGATATCGACCTGACCTCGATCTTAAGATTTATGCATTGCCAAGCATTCTGGGATCTTTTAAGGTCGGGGATAATTAAATCGTATTATTACCCGACCTCGAGGTAAAGATTTATTCATTTCACGCCATTCTGGGATCGATGAGGTCGGGCTAATACGCTCGACCTACCTTAGCTTGAAGTCTTGTGTGGTATTGGTAAATACCAATTTTAGTAAAGGTATTAGCTGCATGCGCGGGGCACGACTTTATGCTAATTTACTAAAAGTGTTAGCTGCATGCGCGGGGCACGGCCTTATGCTAATTTAGTAGAAGTATTAGCTGCATGCGTGGGGCACGGCCTCACGCTAATTTAGTAAAAGTGTTAGCTGCATGCGCGGGGCACGGCCTTACGCTAATTCAGTAAAAGTATTAGCTGCATGTGCGGGGCACGACCTTACACTAATTTAGTAAGTGTTAGCTGCATGCGCGGGGCACGGCCTTATGCCAATTTAATAGGGGATCAATATCATAAAGAAAACTTCTTGTGTTATTTAAAAGGCTCAAGGGTGTTGCATACCCGAGCTTATTTGAACATGAGCTAACTGGGCATTAGAGCCCGAAAAGTAAAAAACGAAACTAAGAAAACAAGAAGCGGGCATGCAAGCCCTAAAGGAAAAATTAATAGCTATAGCTAATCACTTGTAATATATTTTCAGATTGTTGGCGTTCCATGGCCTTGGGAGCGGATTCCCTGATGTATCTCTGAGGCTATAAGCTCCCCCTTTAAGTTTTCTTATGACCTCATAGGGTCCTTCCCATGTTGGCCCAAGTTTCCCTGGTTGATGCCCGGCGGCTTCTGCTTTCCTTAGGACAAGATCGCCGGCTCTAAATCTTCTGTTCTTGACCTTCTTGTTGAAGTGTTTCGCCGTTCTGTTTTGGTAACTTGCAGTCCTAAGGGAAGCTTGCTCCCTTACCTCCTCAAGTAGGTCAAGATGTTCGGTAGTATGCGTCTCCGTATTTGTCTCGAGCTTTCTTATTGTGGGGAGGCTAACCTCAATTGGAATGGTAGCCTCAAGTCCAAAAGCTAGCATGAATGGCGTTTTACCAGTTGCTGTCTTGTGTGAAGTCCTATATGCCCACAGTATCGAAGGCAGCATGTCAGGCCAGTCACCTTTAGCGTCCCCTATCCTTGTTCGGAGGTCCTGCAATATGATCCGATTAGTTACTTCGGCTAGCCCATTACTTTGTGGGTGTGCGACCGAGGTCAGGCGATGATCAATCCCATTGCTGGCGCAGAAGTTCTTGAACTGGGGATTGTCAAATTATCTTCCATTATCTGTGATGAGGACTTTTGGTATCCCAAATCTGCATATGACGAACTTCCATATAAATGATCTGAGCTTCGGTTCTGAAATTGTTGCTAGAGGTTCGGCTTCTACCCACTTAGTAAAATACTCCACTGCCACAGCTACAAATTTTAATTGTCCTCGGGCCAAGGAAAAAGGCCCAAGAATATCAACTCCCCATTGCTCGAAGGGAGCTGAGTAGTGAATGGATATCAGTTCCTCAGCAGGAGTGTATGATGTTGCCAAATCTTTGGCACTTGTTGCACCTCCGGACGTAATCTGTGGCATCTTTCTTCAAACTTGGCCAGTAGTATCCATACCTTATCAACTTATGTGCCAGAGCTCGGGCTCCTTGGTGATTCCCACAAATGCCTTCGTGAACTTCAGTCATTGCCTGAAGGGACTCGGAGGGTCTGAGACACCTTAGATAAGGGAGCGTAAGACTTTTGCGGAACAAGACTCCTTCGATTATGCAATATTTGGCAGCTCTATACCGAATGCTTCGGGCGAGCCGAGGGTCTGCAGGAGTGTTGCCATTACTTATGTAATCAACTATTGGATCCATCCAGGAGGGCTCATGGTCGATGTCCATGATACTTGGTTTCTGGGCTATACTTGCTTCTGCAACCATCTTGATGTGCACGGTTCGATCGAACCCGTCAACACCCATGAAGACGAGTCTGGATAATGCATCGGCTTTGGCATTTTCGGCTCTGGCTACTTTCAGAATTTCACAACGTACAAACTGCCTCTGGAGGTCATGTACTTTCAAACAATATAAGCTCATTTTTTCCTCCTTTCTTTCAAAAGACCCTTCGATTTGTTCGACCACTAGCTGTGAGTCACTGAAAATTTTGACGTGCTCGCACTCGAGGTTTTTCGCCAGTTCTAGGGCAATAACAACGGCTTCGTACTCTGCTTCGTTATTGGTAGCCTGGAACTCAAACTTGAGAGCGCATTGTATCTCCGTAATCTTGTCCGAACTTGTAATAATAATGCCAGCCCCCGAGCCCGAGCTATTGGATGCTCCGTCAACAAATATTTCCCATACTCCTGAGGTCGAGTTCGGGCTCCCGGCCAGTGTTTCTGAGGATCTTGAAGTGAGCTATGCCATGAAGTCGGCCAAAGCTTGGGCCTTGATTGCAGGCCGTGGCTTGAATTCTATGTCAAATTCGCCGAGTTCAATTGCCCACTTCAACAGTCTTCCTGAAACGTCCGGCTTCTGAAGTATATGTCTGAGAGGTTGGTTGGTGAGCACAACAATTGGATGTGACTGGAAGTATGGTCGTAACTTTCTTATAGCCACTACTAAAGCAAGGGCGAGCTGTTCTGCAAGTGTGTATCGTGTTTCTGCATCAAGGAGCACTTTACTAACATAGTAGATAGGTTGCTGAACTCTTCCTCTTTCCTTTACCAAGACACCGCTTACTGCGTTCTGAGAAACTGCCAAGTATAATAGCAGCGTGTCATCGGGTTCAGGTTTAGTAAGGACTAGAGGTGTTGATAATGTCTGTTTAGGCTCCTGAAAGGCTAAGTTGCATTCCTCACTCCAATCGAACCCTTTATTTCCCCTAAGTAGTTTGAAAAAGGGGGAGCACCTGTCAGCTGCCCGGGAAACAAACCTGTTTAGTGCTGCTATGCGACCTGTCAATTTTTGAATGTCCCTTTTGCATTTAGGGGCCTCCATATTTATCAGAGCTTGAATTTTATCAGGATTTGCCTCTATTCCTCTGTGCGTGATCATAAAACCCAGGAATTTTCCAGATGCCACCCCAAATGCACATTTTGCCGGGTTGAGCTTCATGCTGTACCTCCGTAACGTAGCAAACACTTTCTCAAGATCAGAAACATGGCTACTCGACTATTTGCTCTTGACCACCATATCATCCACATATGCTTCGACTGTTTTCCCAATTAGCTTGGCGAAGATTTTTTCACTAACCTTTGATATGTTGTTCCAGCATTCTTCAGACCGAAGGGCATGACCCTGTAGCAGTAGATGGCTGAATCTGCCATGAACGAGGTCTTCTCTTGATCTTCTTCTACCATAAGAATTTGGTGATACCCCGAGAAGGCATCCAAGAAGTTGTACAGCATATGACCTGATGTACTATCCACGAGATTATCAATTCTGGGCAGGGGATAACTGTCTTTAGGGCATGCTTTATTCAGATCTGTGAAGTTAATGCAAACTCGCCACTTTCCATTAGCTTTCTTGACAAGAACCACATTGGCAAGCCATTCGGGGTATTGTACCTCTCGAACGAACTGAGCATTAAGGAGTTTGGTAATCTCCTCTTTTATGACTTCTCGTCTTTCCGGTGCAAACTGCCTCTTCCTTTGCTTCACAGATCTTGCTTCCGGGTTCACGTTAAATCTATGTACTGCAACATCTGGATCAATTCCAGGCATGTCCTCAACATTCCAAGCGAACACATCAATGTTCCGGGAGAGACAGCTTAAAAGCTCGGCCATGATCTCCGCATCTAACCCTCGACCAACTGTCACTTTTCTTCCGGGCTCGATCTTGACCTCCTCCAATCCTTCTACCGGAGCTAACCTTCCGTAACTTTCATGCTCGAGCTCGAGCTCCGTAACTTGCATGACGTCATTTTTGATTTTTCGAACGCTGGTCACATAACACTGTCGGGCCACCGTTTGGTTGCTTCGCACTATCCCGATGCCATTAGGAGTAGGGAATTTCATAGCCAGGTGAAAAGTTGAGACAATAGCTCGAATTCTGTTGAGCATTGGTCTTCCCAATATGGCGTTGTAAACCATCGATGTACGGACAACTTCAAAGGTAGTGATCTGAGTTACCTGCTTACCTTCGGTTCCCAATGTTAAGGGTAACCCGACGATACCCTCCGGGGCGATGACCCCACCTCCAAACCCTTGCAGGGGTGTTTTTACTGGCTTTAGTTGTTCTGACGAGATCCCCATTTGAACAAAATCTTCGTGAGACAATACATTTGTTGCACTTCCGTTATCTACCAGAATTCTCTTGACTTCAAAGTTGGCGATGATGGCCGATATGACAAGGGCATCACCATGGGGGAATGCTATGCCTTCCAAGTCATCCATTCCAAAACTGATGTCCTCTGTACGACCAAGATCTGGTCTTGAAATGATCGGTGGCTGTCTAGCATACTGTTTTCGCCCACTGCTAGAGTCTCCTCCCGAGGCTGTTCCTCTGACAATGATATTGATAGTGCTTGCAGTTGGTTGCTTGTTTCCCCGATCCTCTGGGCCTTTTCCCCCATTCTGGTTATTCCTCAGGCGTTTGTCATTGTTAATGTAAGAGCTCAAAAATCCTCTTCTTATAAGAGCTTCGATTTCTCGCTTTAAGGCCAGACAATCTTCTGTGGTATGGCCGTGATCTCTATGGAAATCACAGTATTTGCTCTTGTCACGAGTATCGGGGGGAGACCACAATCAGGGAGGCCATTTCAGTTCCTTAGAGTCTTTGATTTCCATCAGGATGTTGGACCTCGAAGTGTTCAGGTGGGTAAAAGCCGTTGAAGGTGGATCCTTTCTTGGTTTGACCCTAGGTGTCTCTTGTCTTAAGTTGGACTCATGTGGCCTTTTCTGATCCAACCTCCCTGATGAGGTAACTTCCCTTTTTGGGGCCATGGTTTCTTTCATATTGATGTATTTCTCAGCCTGTGTGAGTAGCTCGGTTACTGATTTCGGCAAGGTTTTAGACAAGGACATTTTGAACGCTTCGCACTTAATGGCGTAAGTCAGAGCTGAGATTGCAGCTGTGATATGTAGGTCGGGGATCTGAAGCCTTTCTTTGTTGAACCTGGTCATGAAACTGCGCAGTGTTTCATTGGGTCCTTGACGCATCTGCATGAGTGATGCAGCTGTCTTTCTGATTCTTTTGCTGCTCGCAAAGAAAGCGGAGAACATGTCAGCCAAATCTGAAAAGGAGGTGATGGAGTTCGGTTCTAATGTGGAAAACCAATCTCTAGCCGCATTCGTGAGGGTTTGAGAATATGCCTTGCACATTACCGCATCTAGTGCAACCTGTAAGTTCATGATGTCCGTGTATACATTGAGATGGTTGATGGGGTCGGTTGTCCTGTCGTACTCCTTTATCCGAGGATACTTGAACCTATCGGGAAGGGGGTACGAGAGGACTTCCGGAGTGAATGGTGTATTGGGGGTGAATCCTGTTGCTGTCCGAGTATTTTGTTGCATATCCACTGCTATCCCTTCTTAAATAATTCTTGCAAGTTCGGCGGAGTCTATTGTAACGGACCTTGAACCTGATGCAACTTGTGGTACCCCTGAGGTTCCAACCCCGCCGTCATTATCGGTTGCATGATGAACTCGAGCTCGGGCATCTGCCATAAAGCCACCTTCAGGTGTTGGGGTGTGGGATGGATGCGAATTTCTCTGACTTAGCAGTTGGGTCAATGCAACCACCTGCTGACGGAGTTCCTCAAAAGCTCCGGCGGAAACAACAGCTTGAGGAGGTGTTGGCATCTCCGACGACTCTTCTTGAGGAATATGGTGTCCCTCAGGAGGTGGAGGGTTATCTGGGACGGATGAGCTTGCTGGAGGAAGACCTGAACGTGTATTGACCATGGCTTTTGGTAGCGAAGTTCCCACAGACGGCGCCAATGATGCTACCAAAAAATATCGCCAGAAAATCTCGAGCTTGATGACTGGGATGAAACACGAACAGCGCCTTCCAATACCTGAAACAAAGGCAACGAGGTATGTGCTCGTCGCCCCTCCGATGCTTAAGTCAGACAGGGAATTTTATGCGTGAGGCTATAAACTGAGGATAATAATGAAGAACGTACCTTTGGAATGAGCACATGTTGTGTATTTATAGGTGTTAGTGGTTGAGTCCTAGGAGGATTGATTCTGCCACAATCCTTCTCCTCGTAGGAAAAGGAGTTGGTGTTTCACCTCGTAATCGAATCACTATTTGAGTCAAAGAGGGAGTCTAAGAAGATAGGGATTGTGTTCAAGGTAGGATTAGTGCTTCCATAGGTCACATATGGAAGTTATCAAGTCAGCATATGTACCCCGACCTCAAACACCCAAGCTGGTTTTGGTGTTTTTAGATGATGATAAGGTCGGGGTTGTAGGTTGTGGTCGGGCTCAGGTGGTCGGGGTTATATACTGACGATATCTGGTATAATCAAATATTATTTTCATTGCCGTTTATTTTTTTCTTTTTTGAGTATAGTAGGTTGTTTAATTCATTTTCGAGTGATATTTTTGTTTCTTAGATATTGAATTTTAGTTGGAAGTATTTTGCTATTGTAGAATTTATCCTTTTTGTATTTGAACTTCTATCGATATTTTTCCTTTAGTGAAGTAGTATAATAGTTTCATAGAGATGAGTACTATTTATTTTTCTTAAAAAAAGTATAATTCGTGACAAGGCTGGCCCATTCAAAATCTTTGTACTAAGACCCCTGGTTGCTTGAGCCAACTCTTTTTCTCAAGGTTCCTTAAGACTAAAGATAGTGAAATTACGACATTCAATATCCAACTGACTCCATCTGAATGGGTATTTTATGTGGAATTTAAATTTATCAATTATTAAAAGCAACAATTTACAATTATTAATTAATCTAGACGAATTCATTATAAACGAATCAACTTAAAGTAATGTCCAGATTCAACTAACTCTAATACTTTCTGACATCTTGACTATAATCACCAAAGCCCTACTGGATAGTGTACTCCTGCACCAACTCCCGACCTTTAGGATTCATCTATCTCTTGTCGATCACTGAGAACTCTTCGTTCTCCTTCAATCGGACCTCTGATCACCTTTTTCAATTTTCTCTAACTAAGTATATGGAAGTATGTGTTTTTAAGTGTTTTGAATTATGTGAATTTGATGTTTTCAATGATATGATTGAATTAAGAGAGGATTAAACTGTATGTATGATAAGTAGGAAGTGATTTCTCATTTAACACAATGTTCATCACCCACTATTTTTGAAGTGGGGCGTGGGTATATATAGTATAGAGGTTTTGGAGTAATATAGTATAAATAAAACTCTTAAAAAACGTGAACTACGGTTTCTCAAGAAATATCGTGGCACAAGCAAAAGTCTAACGACAAGCTTGAGATAGGTTCTCCGCTCGAGCGAACAGGCTAGCGACAATGCTTCTATTTTAGATGCTCAAGCAATAGGTTAGTGGTAGACTAGCATAATCCAGGCAATTTTTATCTTTGTTCCATAGACGACTTCAAGGACTCCTAATTCATCTATACAACTCACTAATTGACTCTTCGACTTTTAAAATCCTTTTACATCTATATCTTTGTCTAAAGATTGCCAATAACTATAAAACTAACAGATAGGCACTTGCAAGCCTTTCTTAACCAAATTTAAAGAGAGAGAGAAAAAAAATAGTACTTTTACTGTTTTTGAATATTTTATACATATTTTAAGCCACTTTAATATTAATTTTGATTCATAAAAGAAGTTTGAAGTCATTATTCTATTATACAGAGATTGAGTGGCATTAAATAACCATTATCATCTTCTTTTATTAGAGTAAAATACATGGCTTATAAATATGAGCCATCACAAATCTTGTATTTGCTTTGCTGTGTTTCTGATTTCATTTTGCAAAATGTTACTTTCGTAATTGAGATTAGATAGTTTAATCCCCAGTAACTATTGCATGATTCATAATAAATGATACAAGAATCGCAAATTTGTCTTAAAGTTAGATCTTGGTCCTTTAATGTAAATCAAAGTTAAAACAGCCAATAGGGTGCTGTCATCTTATTACCTGTAAACTGTTGAGTACAATTCATCTGTACAAATAACTTTATGTCAAAAAAATTCCCTTCAGTTGCCTCAAAATGGCTGACCATTCAATTCGTAGATGACTCTCATATCACGTGCTTCAACCTTTCCATCACATGCTTGACAACTCTCTGCCTACTTACCATGAGCGGTCCAATCGATATTACAAATGAGACCTTTTAAGTTAGTGAGGTCATTTGCCTTGGAAAGTAGAATATACATATATATACCCCTCTGCATTAGGGTGAGTGTATTTTTATATGTGATGGTGAAAGGGGCCTTCATTTTGTCTGCATTTGCACCTGCACCTCGCTAGGGAGGGAATTGCCTTAGATGCATGGATGAAGAGAGGTGCAGGCGCTGCCGCGCTGGTGCAGCCAAAGATGGCATCTTGGCGTGGAGAACGCTTTAGTAATTAGTGGGAGGATCATATATGCTCACAATACTTTTTTCTTTATTGATTTATTAATTTTTTATTTTTTTCTCTTGTTGATAGGATTGCTGATATGT